CCCAGGCTTTGACGTACACCCAGCCCCTCTTTCGACTCCCCCGGCTCTTTGCCCCAGGCCGAGGGCGGGCGATGTCTTGGCTTCATCTACAGTACCAGGAGGTGTCTGGCAAGAAAGAGACGCTGGATTTTTATTTTTCCCATGGCCGCGCCCATTTTGGTTACCATGAGGTGGTGTCCCTTTGAGAGTCTCAGATGCCCAGTGGATTTCAATGGGAAAAAAGGATCGGCATCTTTTTTTTGACTGAGTTTAAAGGGGAACCCTTACTGAAAAAACTGGAAAAAGGGCACCACTGGGCAACAGAGTTTATTTCATGATGAACAACTGGCATATGCTGGGATGTTGACAACTCGAGGACATTTCATGGCGCGAAGCCGTTCCACGGGAATGTCCCATGTCAAACCAACCCAAAGCCTGAAATATCCGCTTGCCCTTGGCGATTTAGGGCGAGGTCTGGAGAGGTGCTACCGCATCTTGGGACCGAGCCTATGCTAACCCGTTTTTTCTTGCCAAACTTTTCGTTGTTCAGGTCGCTTTACAAGCTTGAGTTGACTCCTTTGGGGGGCATTGAGAGCCGCTCACCCTTTCTATGCCTTCCGGCCGACCTTTTCTATGTCTTCAAGGGGGGAAAAGGCGCCAAAAGGAGTGACAAATCGAGAAAGGGATCTTTCAGGGGTAGGCCCAGTGATGGATCATCATGTTTCAGCCAACCCTGTGAGAAAACTTCCTTTCGGCTTCTCAGACTCAGAGCCAGACTCCTTGAGCTACGGTTCCCTTATCATTGTCCCTGACGTGATTTGCTCGTAAGTTCAGTGTCATCCCCCCTACTACAGCAAAATGATCCAAACTGGAGGGGGGTGGGGGGCATGCAAATGGTGGTTCTCCTTTTAGTTCCCTTTAAACTTTAAACCAACCCACAAACACAAACCAAAAGAGTCGGTCTTTTTTTGGAGCTTCTCCCCTTTTTGTTGTTTCGCAAGGGAAACCAAGAGGAAACCCGGAGCGGTTCGTTTTGGGGGCGGGGGGACCAGACCCACAAGTTTCGCGAAAAAAGCGAACCGCGCCTCACTTCTGGGAGGAGCTCCAAGTCATTGGGCCTGGGCCAGGGATTCAAAAAAAAACGGAATTCCAAAAATGGGTGGCCCGATCGGTAAGTGGAAACCTGGACCAAAACCTGCGGTTTGCCCCTCCGATCGTTTAATTTTGAACCACACCCTCATCTTGCTGGTGCGATAGGCAGGGAATGAGAAACGGAATGACCCCGAGAAGAAAACACAACCCATCTGGTGGTTTCCTTTATTCGGGAATCCCCAAACGGCTCATTCCCAACACCCGCAAGGGTCATTCCCGACTAAGCCCCAGCAAGTCTGGTAAGTGGTTAGCCACTTGGGGTTTTCATCCCCTACTCTATCTCCCACGTTGCTCCCACAGGTGCCATGTTGGTAAGAGGAAGAGTAATTCAGGAACAACCGAGTGGGTTACGACCTACCAACAACTTGGTCAACCCCAAATTCACCGGGGAAATCTGAGGTTGTAACCCACAACTTACGAACTGCTCGAATCCAACACCCAAGTTGAGCCCGGGCAATGCGCCACCTAGTCACCCCCACAGAGGGGAAACGGTCCAGACGTCTCCGACGTCTCCGGAGACCTCGCGTAAGCCAAGGCGCTTCCATGTGGTCCAGGCAAAGCAGAACACGGTGGTGCTGCCTGGCACTGTGCTTCTTCGGTCTCGAAAGAGAAGCGAACAACCTATGTTCCGTCATAGATTCCCGGAGAACAAAAAGCAAAAGGAAAAACACACAACGTATTCATTCAGAAGAAAAAACAACACAACATGGGGACAAAAACACAGTTTCCCCCCCAAAAAACATGTCTTTCGGAGGCCTAAAGTCCAGGAACGCAACCCCCCCCCCCCATTCCCCCACGGTTTGGGGTCCGCTTCCTGGGAAGGGTGGCCAACTCCTGGGGGTTTTGGGGCGGCCCGGTTCCCGAGCTCGGAGGTGCCTCCTTGCACCTTGGAGGCTTCGAGGAATGCCCGGAAGCTGTTCCGTTTTTTGGAGTTGTTCCGAGTCACCGGGGAAAGCATGAGAGTCACTTTCGCTGATATGGCGAGTCAGGCTCAGAAAAACTATATTATTATTGAGATGGAAATCGCTCCCCACACACTGCCGCGAAAGGAAACTGGTGACGACTGACGAGATGTTGCTTTCCATGTTTGTGCTTTTCAAAAGGAAAAACAAGGGGGGTGCCACGGTTTTTCTCGGAAGGGGTGGGATCCCGTGACAACCACCACAACCTTTTGGACAAGTAGATCGCCCTGGTAGATTGCGAAACAACCGGGTCAACCCAGTCCCGTCTATCTTCTAGCAAAATAAGTCTGCTTGTTGGGGACCCTTGCCCATGGCTCAAATGAACAAGTTGTCTATGTCATGCCCAGGCCAGTCACCCTGGTAGAACCAAAACGAGCTTGAACCCCTTCTTGGTTGGTTGGTTGGTGACCCCAAGCACACCAAGCACATCTTTGGGATTTAAAGTGATACACTTGACATGTCTTGGTATGAACCCCTAGTCCGTGCGTGAAATGCAGACCTAAACTTTCTTTGGCTCAAACATGTCGGCGCGTCTTTTCCGTGGAAAACCCCTGTTGTTAAACTGTTTTTGGTTGGCTTAAGAAAAACAACTTGGGGGGCTCCCCGCAAAAAGGACGAGCCTCCCACGTAAAAGCCCTGGGGCCTGCCCTTCCCGAGAATCCCCCCGCACCCTCCGCCACAGGGTCCAGTCGCAGTGCCATCCTGAAGCCGACGTTGAGCTCCCTTGGCCTCCCCCCTTGTTTTTGTTTTTTGTTTTGGCTTTTTTCCCCCCCCAGTTCCTGATCAGCAAGGTGAACCACTCCCTTAACATCGTTTTTCCCCGAAGCATTCTTCCCTTGGCTTCCCCCCTTGACTCCCCTTGGGTTGCAGGTTTCCTGCTTGAGGCTTTTCCAATTTGATGTGTCTTCAAAACGAATTGAGGCTTCCCATTCGAGGATTCTGTTCCGCTTTCTCAGCAAATTTAAGGACAACCCCCGATTTGGGCTCCAGGAAACAGCGCTGGAGCGGGAAATGGGGCGACACCTCCTTTCGGCAGGCCGGAAGGAGTCAGGATACACCCCCAAGCAAAAACGATTGGGCACAAAAGCATGTCCGTTTGAAAGGGATCCTGGGCGGGTTGGGGAGAGGGTAGCTCAATCATGGGGAAAAATGACAAACATCAAGATCAATCCTAATCCAACCACGAACGGGAACCCTTTCGTAACTCAGAAGCATTGCCTTTGAGCAGCCCAGAAGGGCAGGTAACTCCGTTCCCGTCCCCGGACACCGTATCTCCTGGAGGCTCGGCCTTGGTCAAAGACTCGCTTGAAGAGGAAATCTTCGACACGTTGCCAAAACCAAAAGACCAGAAGGGCCCCAAAAAACCTTGGTCAACATTGTCTTAGTTAAGGGCAAAGAGGCCACTTTCCAACCCTTGGTATTCAACTTTTGGCATGCTAGCAACAAACGTTGCTTTGTGCAGCCTACCAAAAATGAACAGACTCAAAAAACAAGAACATGCCAACAACAGTGAAGGCAAAATACCCCGCATATGTTGGTATCCCCGGCTTGGGAGTATGGCAATGAAGAGAAGAGAGACTGGAAATGGTGAAGGAATAGCCCATCTCTTCCCCCTCTCTTCGTTCGGAATCTCTATCCTTCCTATCATTCCTTTCTACATCTTGGAATGAAGGATAGAGAGAAGAGATGAATAGAGATGATACACTGTCTATCCTTTCCCCAGCTCTTGACAAAGGGAACAGAGAGCTGATAAGGGAAAGGGAGGGAAGAATGACCGGGAAGACAGGAGAGATAGGTGAATGATGGTTCTCTTTCCATCTCATTCACATTCTATCTCTTTATCCTTGTCTTTTTCATTCCATTCCTCGCTTCACTCGGTTACATCTTCTTCCTTTCCCGTTCGCTTCACTCACTCGTCACTCTGTTCCTTGTCCTTCCGTCCAATCCAGAATGTAACCAAAATGAACGACTTTAGGATGTGAATGAAGGTGTGAGGAAGAGGAAGGCCATCTCTTTCATTCCCTTCTATTTCCTAAGCTCTTGAAATAGAGAAGGGAATGATAGAGATGACAGATTCCTTTTCCTTTCGTTTCCTTCGTTTGGAGGTTTCTAGAGATTCCTTGAACAAGAACTCCAAACAAGGTAAACAGGAAACGAATGAAAAGACAAGGAGAAGTGACATGAATGGGATGAAAGCTGTCTCCCTTCGCTTTCATTCTATCCCATTCATCTCTGTTCACTTCTCTCTCCTATTCACTCACCAGTCAAGGTTCTTAGAAAACCAGCGGCAGCTTGTTGCGTCGAGCTTGCAGCCTGACGCTATGAGCCCACATATACCTGTTTTGGGGGAGAGGTGCGTTGTCGCAGTCACTGCAAGCCCTGGAAGGGGCATTTTTGCAAGGGGTAAGGATCTGTGCCAACACCTAGATAAGCCCGACCTCGATCCCCATGGCTGCAACGCGCTCGCCGGGCGCGCTGCGAATGCAGATGGCTTTGCTCTCATCCTCACCTCGGCGACTCCGGGTTTCGGCTACGGGCCCACGATGGGGTTGTGAAAAATCCGCTGCGGACAGACAAAATCCTGCAGCTCCTTGGTTTTCCCATCCCACTGATTCTCATGACAACCATGACTTTATCACTGTAACAGCAAGAGTCCCCAACTTGTCATGTCACTTTCCAGAGGACGTCGAGACAAGTTCCCTTTGGCTTCCTTTTGAAACTGTAACCTATAAGCACCGCCGACCTCACTTGAAATTGGCATTTTCAAAAGGGAGGCTTGAGACTCCCAGAAAAGCTGTGTAACATCCACATACTGCATCACTTTGAAACCATGCAAAACCATTGTTTGGGAATCATCATTCCAGGGTGCAAAATTTTGTCCATCTACAGTGCAGGGAGCCCTGTTGCAAACAGCCTTTACCACTGCAACAAACAAGCATAAGTAGGGTTCGAACAACCAAGGCGGCACACCATCAACGCCGAGGAAGGCCAAACGTCGACGAAGGCCGTGCACATGCCATGCCCTTTCCCCAAAATGGGTGGGTTCCTTTTGTCTTCCCCAAACGCCAACAAGGGTTGTAAACAAAGTTACAAAGAGTGCCCCTTAGACCAAGAAGCGTCCCTTGTGGGACCGCTTGGACCCCAAAAAACGCATGAGCCCCTTTGAATCTAAGAGTTGCAAAGCTCCGTGGAGCTTCCTACGCTGGTCGATAAGGCCGCGGCCGAGGCTGTACAACACTGCGCCGCTAGGCCTCGGAACGCGCCTGGAGCCTGGAAACCGAAAAACATGAGATCCTGTGCCCTTCGTTTGCGCGGGGGTTGACCCACGCTTCTTGCGGGTAAAGGAGACAGGCCACGGCGGCTTAAAGTGAAACCAAAGAAAAACAGCCCCCCCCCAAAAAAAAAAATGGTTAAAAGATTGATTCTAAGGCGGGGAATTTTCAGTTTCAGGGCATTTTTTCAAGATTACATTTTACCATATCATCGCGCCTGTTCTGTTTTCCCATAAAGGTTAAAAGTATAGTTCTCATAAAATGTTAAAATGTTTTGTCTTGGGTGGGTTTTCTATAAGACTGTAAAAATGGTGATTCATAATATCATAATTACATAATATTATCAATCTAATCACTGTTCTACTTCACTCTCTTTATTTAGGTTCTTCTTATGTTTATTTGTTTCTTTGTGTCTTGATTTCTGATGTGCCACAAACTCAGTTTTACAAATAGGACATTCAACTTTTACCTTAAACCGTTCTCTTTGTTTTTCTAAAATAACATCTCTGTTATTGTCATAATATTCTTTCTTTGCTTGTTTGATTTGTTCCTTCTTTCTTTCTCTGTAATGTTTGCCCTGTTCTTGTATTTTTCCTTTGTTTTGTTCTCGGTATTGCTTTCTAAGTACTTTTATGTCCTCTTTGTTGTTTTCATAATATTCCTTTGCCTGTTGCCTTTCCTTTTCTCGGTTCTCTCTATGCTTCTCTCTACTTTTCTCACCACAACCATTACACAGTTTTTTGTTATCAGTAAATTCTACATCAGGACTTGACTTTTTACACCAACTACATTTTCGCTCATTTTGTTCCTCCATAATATTTATACCCATTATCCCTTTAAATGTTCTTGGGGAAATCAATATAACTTTATTACAATTTTTTCATTATGAAACAGTCTAAGATTTCATCATTTTCAAGGTTCGGGTTTCAGACAATTTTAAGGCTTTCTGGGGGATTGAAGAATTTAATCGTATTATAAGATAATAATATGAATAAACTGACTGAATTACACAGGTTCATCAACAATTAGTTTAAACCGTATGCTTTTTAAACCTTCAAAATTCATTCTACTTCTTTCATCATCAATACAACTGTATATTTGTTGATGCGCCGCTCTCATTACATCAGCTATATTATCTATGGTTATATTATCTACAACATCATCACTATGAAAATTTAAAGTAAAAGTGCTAAATTCATCGTCTTCATAATAATTGAAATGATGAAATCTTACAAACATATCTATCATAACTATTATCGTTGCTTCATAACCTTCATCGGTTTCAATGTCATCTAACAAACAATCTAAGTTTTCATTTTCATTAACAAGTATATTTTCAATGCTTTTAATGCTTAAAGGTATATTTCTAGAAATGCAATACTTAATTACGTGTCTCTTTATATCATAACTATCTTCAACAGTATAGTGCTTGGTCTTTATTTTTGTTTCAGTTCTGTTTATTTTATAACGATTTTGTATTCTCTTTAATGTCTTAATATGATTATGTTTTATTTTCAAATACTCAGGTTCTCCTAATTTATATGAAATGATACTTTTTAATACTTCAACAGGTAAGTTAGTCATTTTCTCTTAATATATTAAGGTCTTGTTTCTTTAAGTATATATTTGACTTTAAGGTAGTTTAATCATATTATAAGTTAATATGAATAAACTTAATCATAAATCTCTATAATTAAACCAGTCTATAATCAACCTTTTCTTTTCTAACAAATGACAGACGAATTTATGGTAAAACTCATTGTCAAAAATGTTTTTATAAACGACTTTGTCTTTGTTTTCTATATATTGCCATTTCAACATTTTAAGAAAATCTCTACACATTGAAATGCTAAAATTTTTACAAGATACATAACCATCATTATTATGAAAAAGTAAATTATAATGAAATTGAGTAGCGGTTTCATAATACAAGATTAGCCTATTGTCATATCCATACTCTTTTAATGTTTTGTCTAAACCAGTTGTAAATATTGTCCGTAATGATTTTTTCGTTGGACATTTATTTAACCTCGTCATATACCAAATCCACTTATCCATTTCTTTTAAATTGTCAGGTTCGTTTTTCATTAAATGTTTTGTAATGGTGCATCTTTTACAACATACAAAACTCAAAATATTATCAATGATACAGTCAGGAAATATGTCATTTGCTTTTTTGACTTTGTTGTTGTATATCTTACAACCACGGCATTTTACAATTTCTTTTGTCAATTCTTCTCTGATACACTTATTCATTTTTTCCTTAATATATTAAGGGGTCATTTCTTTAAGTATTTTTAGTTTTTTGGGGTTGGTATTTTGGGTTTCAGTTTCATCATTTTCACTTTCAGCATTATTTTATGTCTAAATCATGTTTGTTATTTCTTATATATTAATTCACGGTATATTGATTGAATTGGTTTTATATCGTCCTTTTTGTTTTTGTTGTTTTTCCATTTATCAAACATATCTTTGTATTTACTAAATTCATTTTTTGATATTTTCCCTTTGTTCAATCCTTCTTTGAATGCTTCGTCCAACAGTTGTATATTCATTCTTGAGGGTGCTGTTTTGTCTTTTTGTATTGTCTTTTTTGGTTTGGTTATTTCAGGTGTCTTGTCGTCTTTATCTTTGTCAGGTTGTAATCCAGATGATGATGACGTTGCACCTTGTGCTATTTCAGGAGTGTGCTGTATTGCTTTTAGCATCTTCTTTTTTTCTTCTTTGTTTGTTTTACTTTTTGCTTTTGGTCTCATCTCTTCTGGTGCGTCTCGTTCTTGTCGTTTTTGTGCGTCATCTCTGATGCTTTCTATCGCCATTGTCTCGCTTTCATCCATTGTTATTGCTTCCAATGACGCCTTTGCTTTTGCTTTTGCTTTTGCTTCTGTTTTTTTCGTTTTTGATGGTTTAATTACTTTTGCTACTGCCTCTGGCGACTGGGAAGAACTTGAAGCAACTGTTGCGTTAAGATTTGACATATCTTGAAATGCTTGTGTTCCTTGAAATATATTTGCTAAATCTTGACCTAAACTTAAACCCATTTGTTTCATTCTTTGTAATCTTTGGTTCGTATCATCAAAATGTTGTTGTCTAACGCTTTGAGAAATATAACTGATTTGTTGTTCGTGTTGTTCTTCTGCTTCGTCCATTGTAGCATCCAGCGCTTCTGTTGCTTCATCTCTTAAATCATCCATTTCATCGTCCTTTGCCATATCAAAATGAGCGACTGTTTTAGGTTTTTCTAGCATTTTTTGAAAATGTTGTTGTCTCAAATCTACGGTATTATTGTCATACACTGTTCCTAATGGACTATCACGAAAAGAATAAGCGTTTCTGTCTATTACATCTCTGATATTCTTATTTTTATATTCTTCCTTTGTAATTTCCTTGATGAGTTCATTATAAGACGGTCTTAATCTTAATTGTGATTTTAGCGTTTTCATCTGTGTGTTGTCTAATCTCATTATATGTAATTAATTAGATTATAAAATTATTAATTTAATTAATTTATTCAAAATTAAAATCTTGTCTTAATTGATTGATTATTCCTTTTTTCTTCTTAATCATTTCCGAATAGGTTTTACCTGTTTCACTTGATGGATGATGTCTTATTTTTTCACCTTCCAACCTTTGGATTTCATTAAAATACGCCTGTGCTTCATCTTGATATCTTCTTCTATTTTGAAATATAGCGTAGTCTTTTTTAGCGTTATGAAATTCTAACTGTTCCTTCATTTCTTTCAGATATGTATAGCTTGGTTGGTGTGCTTTGTTGTCTCCGTCGTAATAGTAATGGACATTAGATTTATATTTTTTACTTGGTTTTGTTATGGGATTATAAAATTTGTTTGATGTTGGTAATTTACCTGCTTTACCATTCTTTGTAAGTGTTGATGTTATATTTTCAAAATCTGACTTGTTCATATATTAATAATTAGATTATAAATTTATTTATCAAATAATTTTTGATACTAATTTATTAATATGTTCTTGTTTCTTTTCCATCTTCTGCTGTTTCATATTAATATATCTATCTTTTGCAGTTTCAAATACTTTATTAGCAGTTGTTTCTAAATGCTTTTTCAATCGTTCTTCAACTCTTCTTTCTATTTCTTGTTCATCCACTTTGGGAATATCGCTTTTTACTCTGTTATAAACATCTTCTTTGAATTCTTCTGCTTGGACTGGATTGATGACCTTTTTTCTAATTGGTTTGTTTAAATCTATAACTTTGTTAGTGCCCTTCTTCACTCCACGACAAGCATGTTTATATTTATAGTTGTAAGCAGTCATTAAAGTTCCACAAGTAGGACAGTTAATTTTCTCCTTCATTTGTTTTTTAACAGTAAATTCTTTTTCAACTACTTCATTACTCTCAACAGGTTTAACTTCTTCAACTACTTCATTATTCTCATCAGGTTTAACTTCTTCAACTACTTCATTATTCTCAACAGGCTTAACCTCTTCTACTGCTTCGTTATTTTCACTAACAACATCTATCACTTCTATTTTACTCATATATTTATATTATATAATTATTTTTTATGATGAATTATTAAGTCTCAACAAATGTTAAACTAAAACTACTGTCCGCTCCGTGTAAATCTACGGTTTTTCCATAAGCATCAACATATTTAAAATGTAAGCGTCTTAAATGTCTCATTGAAACATCATTAGCGTCATTCATTAAAATCTCATTATCATAGATTACATTTCCAAATCCAGCAGTAATAGGAATTTTACGAAGTACACGGGCAACTCCATAAGGAGCTAATTGATTTCCATTAGTTAAACTATCACTGGTTAAGTAAATATTTTTCATTGGTAATAAATCAACAAAACCACTAACGAAAGGGTCGGGCGCAAAATTGATTTTTTCAACAGTGTTTCCTAAAACATTGTTAATAGTCATTGTGTGACTTCTGTCATAATCAACACTAAAACCATAGTTGGTTTGCAATTCTTTATCAGTATGAATTACGAAAAAGTAAGAAACATAATTAACAGTTATAGTTATAGTATTTGTTTTTAATGAATAACTACAACTAAAAAAGTCGCTATTTCCATCAGTTCCATTAGTAGCAGTATTCAATTTATTTTGTAATTCGGCTGCTAATTCACTACCTACATAACTACCTTTATCTGGTGCTACAATAAAATAATATACTGGCGCTCCTGTTAATATTCCTCCTAATGTTAAATATAATCTATT